CCCAAACCCGCACCCAGCACCTGTGCCCTGCCACCAGGCTGACCCCTGCACCCAGGCCAGACCCTGCACCCTGCACCCAGCATGCATGCCCTGCGCTCCATGCCACCCCAGTGCCACACAAGGCGAGGGCTGCCAGCACCCTGCCCGGGGCCGTACACCCAGGTGGGGCAGAGCGAGGCCCCCGTGTCCCTGCAGAGGCAGCTCGAGGTCTCTGCTGGCCCCAGAGACAACCCGTCTGCAAACTGGGGCAGCGCTGGCGTTGCTGGTGGGACAGTCGTATCACCCAAACCTGAAGGGCCAACGCGGGTTGCATACATACTTTTTTATTTTGCATGCATTGCAGTCACCAGCATTTAAATTACTTTTAACAGCAGCAGTGCTTGGCTATCACACAGCATTTTCTGTTCTTGGGGTAGTGACCAAACAGTTCACTGATCATTTCACACCATCAATAAATACACAGCCATCAGGGATGCGCCCAGGGCACCTGCAATGCAACAAATGGGGCTGATCTTAACCCGGGTCCCACAAAAAGTAGCAGTTCCTTTATGTACCTACAATACTCTTTTCTTTCAGGGCTCTTCTACTTTCTTCGGTTTGCAGAGTCTTAAAAATTTGCCAGTGATGGTGCAGACTGCTGTATAACTAATTAAGCTTCCCAACAATTAACTTCCTATTTCTAGTTACCTTTTCCAGACATCTTTGAATTAAATTCACAAACCCCTGGGGCTCCACAGTCAGAGGGGGGGAGCTGAAAACCACCGTCCCACCGAGATCAGCCAGGCTCTTTCCATGAGGAGCCAAGGCACACGGATAAATCTTGGAGCTTTACCGCGTCTCGCCGAGCCTGGCACGATGTCCAGTGTGCGGTGGCTGTGGGGTCCTGGTGGGGTGGGGAGCTGCTCCCCTGGCTCTCCTGGGCTTCAACTGGGAACTGGTGGGAGAACGGGGCCTCGGGGAGAGATGCGCAAAGGGATGGGGATGTGGGGTCGTGGGAGAAAGTTGTGGGGGACGGGCTGGGGCGAGTACTGAAAACCTTTGGCCTGGAGAAACGCAGTGTGGTGTCTTTAGGAAAGGAAGGTGGGGAGCTGGAGGGATGGTCCACCTGCAGTGCAAGGCAGCCGCGTGTCACACTGCACACGCTGAACCCGTCTGCCGGGTCAGGTACTGAAAAGCGAAGGAATGAATGTTTAGTGCACGGGGGTGATGTCATCGTTGCGCTGCTAAAATCAAGGCTTATCTGGAACAAATTCCCTACTGAGAGTGCGGTAACCCCGTCCCTCTGACTGGCACGGTGTGCCACCAGCATGTTTGTGACTCTGGATGTTTGACATTTCCGTGTTTTCCTTCATGTACCTCTGGCTGAAGGCATATCATTTGCCAATAGCGGGTTGCACGGTGATTGCTGGCGGCGGAGCCGGGTCTGGTGGGGAGAAACCAGCTTTCCTGGGGCTGGGTGCCGGCTCCGGGCAGTGCCGCGGCACGGACCCACCTCTGCCCTCCCTGGGTTTGGGTTTCAGTGCCTCCCACCTACCCAGGGAGGGAGAGGGGAAAGAGGGAGAGAGACAGACACCTCTAATTAATCATATTAACTCCTGAGAGATGCTTTATGTTCCAACAATGTCACTATTATTAAGTTCACGCGGTCATCCCTCATCAAGCCCCTCTGCACCGGGTTCTGGGAAAAAAGGCTTTGCTGGATTTCCCCGGCGAGTGCCGGCATCGCCCTGGCGCAGCCCGACGTAGAGTCCGACTTCTGCAACCGCTATCAATCACGCCGACGGTTGGACCTGTCAATTTTCCCTCTTTGTGAGGCTTTTTTCTTCTTTTTTTCCCCCTCCCGAAGCTGACCGCAAGATTGATTCAGTCCGGACAGCGGGGTTGTAAACGGAGAGGCGCTGCCTTTCAAAGGAGCCATTCAAGTAAGGAGGAAAGAGAAAAAAAAATCTTTCCTCAATGCACTCGAGTTGTATGCCAACAACAACACGGCCTTAACAAAATAACATAAAATAAGGTGGGACGAGTGCGTAAGAGCAGCGGCGATGCAGCAGCGCTCCCGAGGCCGGTTCCCCTGGCGGATGCTGAAACGGAGGGAGAGCACGAAGCGGCAATACCTCCGGGGCTGCATTTATCGCTTCCCCCAAAGCTCGGGTCATTTCAAAGGCCTGATCCTGCCCTGCTGCTGGCACACCAGAGAACATTTCTGGATTCAGCTTGTGTTTGCTGGATTAAAACTTCCATCCAAGAGTCGTCATGGATAATGATGAATCCTGCTTAGTGTTGGTGCCCTTACCGTCTCTGGTTATAGTCTTCATTCTAAAATCCAGGTGGGTCCTGTTTTCATTAAGGAGAATGGTTAACCGGGGGGGGGAGAAAGTGAAACTTCCCTATTTCATGTTCGGTTCTGCTCCAGGACAAGTCACTCTCTGCTTAGAGACTGCCCATCACAAAGGGTTTTCAAATAAAATAAGCGAGACCACTTGCCAAAGAAAAATTACACAGGCACCAAATGAAAAGCAAAATATTTTGAATAAAAGTAAAGCCAAAGAAGACAAAAAGCCTCCACGAGCGCTTTCAGAAATGACTAATGATATTTTTGCTCCCTAATCAGGGCTTGCCCCACCTGGGCTGCTATTAAGGAGGTTTTATTTTTCCAAGGATGAATCCCCAGCGCAGAGCCTTAACAGTGCTGATGGACTCTGACGCTTTTGCAACCTGCAAAGCATGGCCGTGGAAGAGGGAATTGTGTTTTTCTTTCAGTTTAAGATCTTTCAGTAACTTGGGATGACTCCCGGGCAGGGCTTTCAGGTGACACACACCACAGAGGTGCCCCTCACTCCCCCAGCCCCTTTCTGGCCTTGTCCCACCACTTCTGGGTGGTGCAGAAAGGTGCTTTCCAGAGGAAGGCACACACGATGCACCAGGTATTTTTAAAGAGTGAGAAAAAAGCCAATTAGGAAATGAGTGATGTGCAGGGCCTGCGGGAAACCCCCTCGGTCCCAGCCCTGCCTGCAGAGCTGCCTGCGCAGGATGCGTGCCCGTCGTGATGGGTAGGACAGCAGTCCTGACTTCGAGGAAATTGCTTTCTGAGGCAGTCATTATACAAACCATGGCATTAAATACGTAAATATTAACTGCGTCAAAAGAAAGTGTATTTCCTGGGGAGTCAAGTGTCTTTCTTTACCTGCCTGCTTCGGCAGCCAGTAACAGTGCAGAAACGTACCTATGGACAACACATTCTCTAGCCCTCGGCGCTT